TTCTGTGCAGGAATCGCTTTTTCGTCAACCTTTCTCACGCACTTCATTTCCTTCCACCACTTTTCCCTTCTAGTTTGTTACCAAGCCACAAACTAGGCTCTGTGTTTGGGAAAAATTAGTTTTGCTCCGTGTTTTAAAACAAACTTGAACACAGTATTTGCCAGATCTCTGGCATAAAAAACAGCCAGATTCTTGTTTTACAGATCTGCTCAAGCTTACTTTGATGCGCATGAGGTAACTCAGGATTTTAGGTCTGTTGCTTATATAAACTTTTAGTAGATAGATACTAGACAGGACTCACCACTTGTTTAAAAAAAGCTGTAGTAAATATCACGTGGCACCATTTTAATGTAACATTTCTTTGCTTAAGTTTCATCATAATTTGAGGCCGCAAATGCATTTTATTAAGAGATAACGGTGTGCACAGTCTATTCTTGCACAACCAAGTGTTTCACTTAGTGCATCCCTGCGTAGCTGGATGATAAAAATAATATTATGTGATCTGCATTTTAAGTAATCTTTCCTCTGGAGGCTCTGAAGGCAGTTTTTCTCCATATTCTTCTTGATAATGTTTTTTTTTTTTCCACACTGAAGAGAGGGATTTAGCTTCTGCTAGATCTGGAGCCCTTCTGCTTTCCTCTTTCCTGCTTACTGTGTTTTGACAGTGACTCTGACCGGTGTTTCCTTCATTTAGAATGAAATCTATATTTTGCTTTTTCATTGTTAGATTGTTTTTCCTCAGAGGGCAACGCTTTTGTCCTTGTTTTGGTTGCTGTTTCGGCAGCCACTTAACTGGTCAGATGCAGACATGGGCGCGTGCACATGCAGCGACCTTCCTGTTCATTGTGGTGTTTAGTTTCTGTCTGTTTTGAGGAGTTGAGCAAGCCTGCACATTTGCTGTCGCCTTGGCCTGGAAATTTCAGTCTCCAGGCTATTTCTTTATTCCAGAAATGCCATCTGCCTCATATCTCACCTGCTTTGTTAAGCCAGAAATGCATCCTAATGCTGCAGGGTGTTGCAAACTGGGAAAGTAGGTTGTGACAGAAAGCCATTGTGTTCACTGAAGCAGGTTGAGTACAGTGACACAAATTACAGTTTACTGATTTTAATTTGGTGTGACAATGGCGACAAACAACGGGGTCACTTTAATATTTCCTGACATTGGCTGTTGAGACAAAACTCACACACAATGTTATTGTGTCAAGAAGCTGAATTAAAGTCGAGCTTCTTCTTGTGGTTTTTACAATATATAGTCAACTTTGAATAAAAACAGTACAAATTTCTTGGTAGAAACAGAAAACAATAGTAATGGTTTACTAGACAGTACAGAGACAGTCAGGTTCAAAGGAGCGAAAAGTTAAAGGAAAGTTCCTGCTCTTTGTGCTAAGCCTGGAGGGACACTAGGCCTTGTTGTAGAGGCCTTGTTGTAGCCCCCATAGAGTGAATTTAAGAGGGTCAACTTTAACAAGGACTGTATTGATTCTCTGTGTTTGAGAGGGGAGACGTTGTCTGTGTCTGTTTTTCAATAGCACCATGAGGACAAGACAGAGGCGGCAGTGCTTTTTGTCTTCATGTTTAAGCCTTCATTCAGCTAAGAGGCAGGGGGTAACACTTGGTGGTCTGCACCCAAGTGGGCTGCACACTTTGGCATTTGTAGGAATGAGAACCGTTATTGAGCTACAGTTGCACAGTTAAGGTGCTTTTACTTTCAAATGATCTCTTTGTATCAAATATTACACTTTACTTTGGCTTTATTCTATTATTTTGATCTTTCTCTGTATACAGTATATCATACTGTATATTAAAAGTCAGTTACAAATTATATTCTTACTATCAAGACCCCAAAAGGTTTTAAGAACAGAAGTTAGCTTAAAGATCTTCTGCACTAAAGATGGTTAAAATCAATTCCTAATTTGGAGGGAAAATTATGATTTAGGTATTTCTACCTGTGTGTCTGTAGAGTGATTTATGAGGCCATTCAGAAAAACCAGCCGTCATGGCAACACTTTTACAAGCTGGATGTGGCTCTTTCTGTACATTTCTTTAAGCTGCATACATTTTCATGGTTTTTATTTCAGAAGTGGCATGTGGTGCTAGTTAATATTTGAAGCAGGTGTTTACTATTTATATAAAAGTTTGACAGTTTGCTTTCTTGCTGTTTTTTTGCTACAATAACACGATATGCTGTTGGTCTCTGCGTGAGCTTCGCTCCATCATGTCAGTGCTAAATATTTTACTTGTCTGAGAAAACCCAAGGCTGTTGAATATTACCACACAACCTCACACAGTCCTAAGAAGAACTAGATGACCACTGAATACATTCAGAGTACTTTCACAAGGCTTGAGTCTTTCACAAGAGTTTTCAGCCACATCCAACTTAAATCTGGCCTTGCAAAATTGTGGGAATAGAGTATATACAGGCTTAACTCCAGGTTCTCGCATATCGTCAAAGCAGTTGGTAGTGTGATACACGTGTGCACACACACAGGAGGCATGTTAAAAGTATTCCTTGATCTTTGGAGGTTGTGGTAGCTTTGAGAGGAATCCTCCTCTCTTCTCTGTGTACCCACCACCAGTCTCCATGGTCCAAACTTGAGCCTGGGGGCCTGGGAAAGAAAACCCCTCTCTGATCCCAGGGTGTGTTATGGTTTTTGGGGGAGAATGTGCATCTCAGGTCTGGTCTAGCTCAGGTTCCCAATGCCCCCAAAGGTATGTGTTGCTTTTGGACATAGCTTTTGGGTTGCAGCTGAGGCCACATGTCCTCAGAAACGGGTTTATTGATCGGTTGTATACAATGGACAACAATCAAGTGATTTATAATTTGCCCAGTCGTTGTTCATCTAACCTGCATGCACATAGTTGTCTGTATAGTACATTTTATAAGTGATAAACAACCACTTTGCTTCATAGAGCCTGTTCCCATAATAGAAGATGTTTGGCTTCGCTAAGAATCATAATAAATATTTGCTGATTCTACACCTCTGTGATGCCAGGCGAAGCTTTTGAGCTTAATTGGTACTAAAGGGTCGAACGCATTCCAATAAAATATCCCCCAAATTCAGGATTCTGACCCCACCATTCACATGTTACAGGAGAAAATGAGATTTGCCAGAAAAGGGAGTGTTTTTCCAGTCTTCTCTTGTCCATGTTTGGTGAATCTGTGTGAACTGTAGCCTCAGTATCGTCTTCCTAGCTAACAGGAGTGTCACCTGCTGTGGTCTTCTGCTGCTGTAGCCCATCTACTTGAAGGCTCCACATGTTGTGCATTCAGAGATGGTCTTACACATATCTTGACTGTAAAGAGTGGTTACAGCATTTGAGTTAGTGTCGCCTTCCTAGCTTGAAGACGTCTGGTCATTCTCCTGTGACCTCTGGCCTCAAATACTCGTTGTTTTTGCTTTCCCAGAGAACTTCTGCTCACTGGATGTCTGTCTCTCTTTTTTTTTTTTTTTTTTTTTTTTTTTTTACATTATCTGTAAAGCCTAGAGATAGTTTGAACTGGAGCGGGTCCTCTTGACCATGTCTACATGCCTAAATGCATTGGTTTTCTGCACTGTGATTGGCTGCTTAGAGAGCTTGTGTTCAGGAGCAGTTGAATAAGATAAGATAACCTTTATTAGTCCCACACGTGGGAAATTTGTTTTGTCACAGCAGGAAGTGGACAGTGCAAAAGTTATGAGGCAAAAATTTGAATACAATAAGAATAAATACAGTACACAACTGTACAGAATAGAATAAAATAAAATACTATATACAGTAGAATAAAATAAATATACAATAAGATAAAAATAGAATACAAATACAAATACTATATACAACTGAGTAAAAATACAACGATGACAGAAAGGATTATTGCACTTAGTATTATTGGTGTACTGCAACAGGATTTTTCACTTTGTATATGTTTATTGAGTTTAAACAACAACTGAGAAGAGCCCAGCTGCTGAGATAATGTCTTAATTGTTTTTGCACAATAGCCATATGCTCATTGGAAAACAGATTTCTTGTCCATAAATTATGACTGTGTAAGATTAGTATCTTAATAACTGTTGAAAGTTGTCAAGATTAAAATCCTGATTGTTTGCTGTGCTGATCGTAAAGCTCTTTGAGGCCTAATCATGATTTATGATTCTATATAAATAGAAATGACTTCACCTCAGTTTATAAGACTTTGTTATTCAACCCTTATTTGGTATTTACTGTCTATTACTCCATGATTTTAAGACAGAGGCTCAACATCCTGGATTACTGTTATATAATATATCTGTTTAGATTTTCATCTGTTTTGACATAAATGCAAGTAATAAAAAGCTAATTTGTAAAAATGCAAGTTTGGATTGATAGCAAATTCTCCTACACTACTATATCTCTGCTGCAAACACAAAATGATATGACTGCATTTCATTTGCCAGTATAGGTTTCAGGAAAAGTCTTTGTTCTCCTATAAAAATAAGTAGTTGAGATTTGGCCTTGTGCTGGTCATCTGCATGCTCTGGAGCTCAGATGCAGACACAGTAAGAAGGAAAACAAGAGGCCTCAGTTGATTGTTTTAGCGGGGCTTTCCGGGATCCCCTGTCCGAGGACTTTGCTGTTAGTCAAAGTTTATTTTCCTGACCCAGCCATTTTTCAGTCTTTTTGCCCTCACATTTGTTTCTCTTACATCTGCACTCTGCAAAATTGTTTACCTTGAGTATTAGCTGACCTCCATGCTCCCTGCACAAATACATCAGCAGGAAGGAACATTACCTCCGCACCACTGGCCTCATGCCACAGCATTGTGATCAAGAAACCTTAGTGTAAATCTATACTCGTGTAAAACACAACTGCAGTGCAGATCAAGGGCTTTCAGTTACATTGTAAACAACCCAGCAGCCCCTACTTGTTTTATTAAAATAATCTTCGAAGGGATGGAAGGGAGGAATCCAGGTGTGCTTTTTAACTCTGCATACTCTTTGTGCATTTCTGGTTAAGGGAGTGTGTGTATGTGTTAATTTCTTCAGGTGTTCCAGGACCTGGGTGTGTCGGTACTGTCCGGAGCTTCTGAGGGCTACAATGTGTGCCTGTTTGCTTATGGTCAAACAGGATCTGGAAAGACTTACACCATGATGGGGACGCCGGTGAGGAGAGTCCTGGAATCACTGCACAATATTAGATGCACTTTTTTCATGCCTTAGTTAATATTATAAAGGACATTGAAGGGTCCAGCTCATGCTACGCAGGCAGAAAATGCTTTGTTTTATAAATCTTTCGGTTGTGGCCCACACGTTAATGTTGGTCACTCTTTTTTTTTTCAATTTTCTTTAGGACTCCATGGGCTTGACTCCTCGCATTTGTCAGGTAAGGTGGTTGATTAATACTCAACTCAGGTGGCGACACGAATGAAGTGAACATGCTGAACATTCATCTTCCTGAGTATCTAGTATTGTAGGTTGAAGTAACCTGCTGATCTTCTTTCCTCCCAGGGTCTCTTTCAGTCTGAAGACACTTTTTCAGATGGGCAGAACTCAAGCAGAGTGGAGATCAGGTACTTCTTTATTGCAGAGATCTGTGTCTTCTGATTCTAATCAATTTAATTGGGCCTTTTGTTGAAGTTTAATTCAAATTAGACAAGAGTTTATGGTGCAGTTATGCTGAAAAACTGTAGCCAGCAAAATTAAAACAGGATTCATTTCTGTTTTAATTTCTCTGGGAAAATTTGTTCATTTTAAGCTCTTCCTGCCCTTAACTCATAAATGTTAAATGGACTTGCACGTCAGTGGAGACGGAGCGCCAGGCTGGAAAGACTTTGGGTTCAGTGTCTTCTCCAAGGACACTTTGGTTTGCGGAGGGGCCAAGGATCAAAGTACTAACCCTGCCATTAGTGGACACCTGAGTACACGCCACTTGAGCCAAAGCTGCAGTATGGTTATTACAAGGAAAAATACAGGGTTTTTTACAATTTGAAGATTACAATCTCTCTAGCATACACACTGTTTCCCAGTTATTTGATTTGCTAAGCAGTTTAAAACACTGCCCGGGTAGCCATGATTACTACCTGGCTGAACTACAGCCAGCTTTTATTGTGTTTTCTAAGCTCTCAAAAAATAGAGCAGAAATAAAAACCTCAGAAGAGTAAAATTTAAGACATAGACAAACAGATAATGAATGGAGTAGATTTAGCCAGACATGTGGTGTGCATCTAAGTGACGTTAGGGATATAAAAGACTTTAAGCTGAACTTATATTGAAGCTGATTTTTTTTTGCCTCCTTATTTCTCTGTCCTTGCAGCTTCTTGGAGATCTATAACGAGCGTGTAAGAGATCTGCTGAAGGGAGGAGAGCAGAAGAAGAAAGCCACACTGAGAGTTAGAGAACATCCTGAGAAAGGACCCTATGTACAAGGTGAGTTTTCATTCCTTTCCACTGCTAGACAGAAGAATGATAAATCTACATTAAAAACCCCTAAAATCAAGATGAACAAATTGCATTACAATGTTTAAAACATGACGTAGCAGTTCCAGGTGATGATGCACTAAATGTTGATCTAACGGACCAGCTTCAAGGAGACACAAATCCCTTTGGGATTGCATCAGGAAGGGCATCCGGTGCAAAAAATCTCCCAAATTAAACAGACAGTGACCCCTTGTGAGTAGGGGAGCAGCCAAAAGTATCTTGCATGAATGCACACTCAAGTAGAAGTCAGAAAAAATTCTCTAAGATGTCTTGTTTGTGTTGTTTACAAGTTACAAGTCTTCTTCTGTTTTTGATTTAGTTTTAGTCACATCTATTTTTAGTTGTTAGATTCCTGTTGCTTCTTTTATTTCACCTTTTCTCTTTTCCCCTTCATCTCTTCATCTTTTCCCTCTCGTTCCCTCCATTTCTTTCTCTCCTTGTCATCCGCCGGACTCTCCGTATTCAGAGCCCCACATCCACTCATTGTCTGTATCAGGAGAAATCCCACTTGGCCAGAGGAAGTGAAGTCATTTCCTTGTGGTTCCAAGCAGTTCCACACACATCATATCCCATTTAGGTTTTCCAAATTCTACTTCTAATCCCTCAGTGCTTTTCCATCCAAACACTGTTTTGCTGCCACTCCTGTTTTCCTTAAACAATTTAACTCTTTGTATTGACCAGCTTAGAGTTAACAAAGAGGAAGAGGCTAAATGATGAGCCAAGAGGCTCCATGATGATCTGTGTGCACATGTTTAACAGCTTTTTAAGTTGGTGATTCATGCCTGGAAGTAGAGCATTGTTAGAAACTGTTGTTTCTAGATGCTGTGGGAAATATTAAAAAGCACATGGTGGGAGCAAGGATTGATGCATTTCCTGTTTGTGTCTCTTTTTTATACTTCTTTCCTCTTAACATTTTAATCCCTGCAAATAATCAAAGCAGCTTTTTTGTCTCATCTCCATTCAGTTTCATGTTTTTAGAAGTTTTGTATGATGTAGAATAAAAATCGGACTGTGTTCAGTCTTGCTCGGGGTTGACCAATACAAATTATCATTCTCTTTGCGTCCCTCCCATCAGACCTTTCATCACATGTGGTCTCAGACTGCAAACAGGCCATAGACCTTCTGGAGGAAGGCATCGCCAACCGCATCACCGCAGCAACCCACAACCATGATGCCAGCAGCAGATCCCATGCAATCTTTACGATTCAGTACACACAGGTCATCTCACTCAGACTCTGCATGTTGTGCTGTTACTTTTTTCCAGATATTCTCATAATACTCCAGAGTATTGAATTTGTATGACGACTGTATAACTGACCACTGATCAATATGCAGACTTTGGGTTATTTACTTTTGTCTTTTCTCTTTAGGCTATCCTAGAAAACAACCTTCCTTCTGAAACTGTCAGCAAGATTAACCTGGTCGACCTGGCTGGGAGGTGAAAATGTTATTTCCTGCTGTCGTGTGCCCTATTTTTTCTCCTTCAGCATTGTTTAAGCCCAAATCGTTGACAAAAGTGCCCCCTAGTGGATACTGACTCTTGCCCTCACTTTGCTGAACTCCCTATTTCACACATTTTTTAGTCATTTTTTATTGATATGATGTTATACTTTGTTTTTGTTGTGTCTACCAGTGAGAGAGCAGATCCCCACTACTGCAGGGATAGACTGACAGAGGGCTCCAACATCAACAAGTCTCTGGTTACTCTAGGCATTGTCATTTCAGCTCTTGGTAAATAAAATGTTTTAGTATTTTTATTTCACTTGAATAAACTTCCACAAAATTCACATCTATTCTCTTGTGTTCTCTCCTGTGCTTGCTTTTTGGCACATCCTTCAATCTTTTTGCCACCACCTCCGCAGCTCAGAACTCACAGATGTCAAGCAGCTGCCAGAGTATCAACAGCGTGGCCTCTGAGGGCGATGGTAGCACAGTGGGTAGCCACAGCAGCTCGCTGTCTGGAGGTGGAGGTGGGAGGAGGCACTGCTTCATTCCCTACAGAGACTCAGTCCTGACATGGCTTTTGAAAGACAGTCTGGGTGGAAACTCCAAAACCATTATGATTGCAAGTGAGTTCAAACTGAGTGATTCCACAATAAATTTTTATTTTCATATATATTCTAAAACTGTATTTAAGAAAACTGACCACCTTATGCCACGTAATGTGAGCGTTAACTGCTGCTGGCTTGTGTGCGTTTCGCGTGTATTTTCTCTTGCAGCGGTCTCACCCTCTGCCAGCAGTTATAACGAGACCCTGAGCACCCTGCGCTATGCTGCCCATGCCAGAAATATTGTCAACAAGCCTCGGGTTAATGAGGTTAGCGGCTGTTTGGAGTCAGATGCCAAGGTTTAATGTTTGATCTAATTGTTTGGATTAGGTTAACGTGCACTTTGATTTCTGTGCAGGATGCGAATGTTCGGCTGATCAGGGAACTGAGAGAGGAGATTGACAGGCTGAAGAGCATGCTGCTCAGCTTTGAAATGGTATGGTGACCTTTTATCGCTAGAGCGTGTCTCTAACTCTCCCAGGGAGACACTCGGCTGCGTTCACTCCCTTAAAAAAAAAAAATCCTTCTTAGTACTGTAAGGCTTTGTATAAAAGAGATTCTCACATTACACATTTTTCTACCAAATCCTTAATACAGTGTTTTATATCTTGGTGACATTTCTAATCCCCTTAGGTGGGCAGGACTGAATTGCATTGTAATGTCTGTGTGACATTTTCCTTTTGCACAGTATGTTGACTGATCATTTCTTTACTCTCTTGATTGACAGCAACGTAATCCCAGTCCATCCTTGAGTGACGAAAGGGATGGAAATCTTTCTGAAATCGTGCTGCAGAACGAGCTAAAGGTAACGCAGGGTCGACACACATGCTTGCATCTGCCTGTCTGAGTCTTTGACACTTTAAGCAAGTGTGACTTCGGTGGAATGTTTTTATCAGGTCGCTGCTTTTTCCAATATTTACCATGTATCTTCTCAAAGATTAGACACCGACACTAACTGAACTGGGATTTTATTTTTTGTTCTGCCTTACTAGGAGACATTGGAAACTTAAACAGTTAAACAAACCAAGTGTTAGAAATCATTCTATCTGAAGAAGTTTTTTCAGTACTACTATCTATAGGACTGGACATTAGTAGCAGATGTTGGTGCCAACGTTTTCTACCTCCCATTCTTCCTGACATTCCTTTCCCCTTACCCATTCCTGGGTTGCAGGTGGAGCAGCTGACAAAGGACTGGTCAGACAGCTGGAGGGACAAGAAGGAGCTCCTGGAGGAGTACAGTGTGGACATCAACAGAGACCGGGCCGGCTTCCTCATCAACTCCCTCCAGCCACACCTCGTTGCCCTTGATGGAGATGTTCTCAGCACCGGTGTCGTCTTTTATCACCTCAGGGTATGATGAGAAAAAAAAGGAAATACAGGGTTTATATTCTTTCTCTTTTTATGCAAGTGTCTTTGCAACCCAGGAGATACGTATTTGTAATTTACAGGCATGCCATAACATTCAAAATATATTTTTTTGCACAAACAACAGAATGCAAACTTTTGCATTTGCTCTACTTTTCTGAAATCTCAAGTTACTGTTTTTGTCAGCTGACTTGACTAAAACCACCTCTGTTTTTCTACTAGATCCCTCCAATCCTCTCATCTTCTTGTACTACTATTTCTCTCTGTACTTCTAGAAAAACTCTTGAGAAAAGGTGCGTTTCTGTTGCCTTTTCTTTTCACTGTATCTTCCAACTGTCCTGTCAACTTCCCCTCTGTGTGTACGTGTGTGTGTCTGCGTGTACCTTCTGCAATGCATAAAACTCTCTTGGATAAGAGGCTCTTAGTTCTGAGGCTAGGAGTCAGGGGAGCTTAAGCTGTCCTGATTCTGACAATGACAAGCGTACCCTTAGGCCTGACAATTACACAGTTTCCTGCATGTGAAGAACTGAGGCCACATGGGAGCACATGTGGACTTGACACCAAATAAGAAAGCCTTTAATCCCATTAGATAAGACTTCAGATTAAACAAATCACATTTATTTTTCTTCCAGGTAAGTGAAAGAATAGACGTTAAAACCCCTTCACAGAAGATTTTGTGTCAAAATATTTGCTTGTTTTTGTTTTTTTTTTAGATATTTTTGTGTTGTATGTGGATTTTGATTAGAGCTATCATGCTCACAATATATTTTTTGTTACAGGAAGGAGTTACCCGCATTGGACCTCAGGACCAATTTGAAGAACCACAAATAGGTATTTATTTATTCTCTTAAAGCCATGCGATAAGAGAGGTCTGGAAACAGAAATGATACAATACAGACAAAGTATATTTTTGAGTTTGTCATGTAGGTTATTGCACACAAGGTGCAGGGTACATTATGACGATGTGGATGTATTATAAGCCCCTTTTTCATTAAATGTTGCATTAGATGCTGTAAATGTTGTGGAGTTGAATAGCAGCAACGGTACAGCTTTCTAAATCAAAATGTGTCACAACATTTCTGCATTCTGTGTGTAGTCTTGCAGGGCAGCGCCAGCTGTGAGATTGAAAACCACGGGGGTGTGGTGACGCTCAGGCCAGTGCCGAGCTGTGTCTGCCTGCTCAACGACAGAGAGGTCACAGAGTCCTGTAGACTGGCTCAAGGTCAGCTCATGTCCTCAGCAGAGCACTTTGTTCATACTGTCTTTGGTTCCCAGCAGGTTTGCCCCAGATAATGTGACAGAAGCTGGTTATCTTGGTACAAAAAGGAGAAAAAAATTTATTTTTTAATTAGAGACGGACCGATCCAATATTACGTATCGGTATCAGTCCAATACTAACGTAAATTACTGGATCGGATATCGGAGAGAAATAAAAATGTAATCCGATCCATTAAATATCAAAAAAGCACCTCACAAAACTTGCGACACGGTGTAACTCGGCTCATAACCGTAGCACGTCGGAGCAGTGTGCTCACGTGATAGAGCGGCTGTGTGTATTTGTAGCCTCGCTACCAAACCAGCATTTCATCTCCGAGGAAGTGATCCCAGAGAGAAGTAAAGCAAGTGTGTAAGTTCATCTCTGAATGTTTGTAAAGCATTCCCACGTTAAGCTTAACAACCGATATATGGAGCGACTGCCTCTTCTTGCTGCTACTTCAATCGTGAAACTGATTAACGATCAGCTGATCGGCTTTTCCGTCGCGTGTCCGTCTCTCTTGTTTGTTTTTGGCCCACTTCGCGCCAGAAAGAGGAAACCAGCGGCTGAACAACAGCAGCACGTTTAAGCTTGATAAGCTGTTGTTAGAATTTATTTAATATTACTTTCTACACCAGGATCTTTTTCTACGTAGCTGATGGCTGGTAACTGTGCAGGGGCGGATCTAGCAAAGTTTAGCCAGGGGGCCAATAGGGCATGAACAGGGAAAAGGGGGCACAAAGACATACTTTTCTTTCTTATTCTCATTTAAAATGTCGAGCTTTTAATAAATAATTATCTGAATCTTACACCCAAAGTTTTAATCTTATGTAAAATATATAGAAGTCCATTACTGTATATAGTAACTGTTAAGTCTAATATACCCTAGTAAGCTATAGTACTTTTTCCTTTGGGAAGGTACCATCTGTGCAGTCTGCAATTCTGTTGAAGAAAGATGTTGAATCTATTTAATTATTCTTGAAAAATAATTTATTTCTGTGCATTTTTTTTTTCCTGCATCAAATTAAGGTTGATTACGTCGATTAAGCATCATGAGGTGGAGGGTGAGGGGTGGTTCCCTATTTTTTATTTTTTTTTGCTGGGAGTTTGCAACCCTGTTAGTTAGGTTGCTTAATATTTCTGCTAAGTACTCTTTAAAATACCAGAATAGGAAGGATTGAGTAGGTTTAAGTTTATTAGATTGATCAGTTTTGCTGAACTATGAAATATTTTGGGTGCAGTGTATTTTTTACATTCAGGTATAATAGAATAGCTTTAGTGTTGTTGTTTATTTAAACTTGAGTATGAACTTATACAAAATGCAGCAATATATTAAAAAAACAGTTTTATTGATTAAAAAACACACTATATCGGATTCATATCGGTATCGGCAGATATCCAAATATATGATATCGGTATCGCACATAAAAAAGTGGTATCGTGCCATCTGTAGTTTTAATGTTGGATTTGAGCTGTGCGAGTCCAATTTTGTGATTTGATTGATTATTTTTATGTAGATATTGTAAATCAGCTTTTGGTGAGTTACTGCTTTGCTCTGCTGCACGTAAAGCTAATTCATGACTTCAAATGCAGTTGATGCCTTTTGCTTAATTAATGCTGGCCTTAAACGAAACTTGAATTTCATCCAAGAATCAAAAGAACATGCTGTGAGCAATTTGTCTTTCAGATAAGCAGGGGGAAAAAATGATGTTCTCAACACACGTATACATTCAGCAAAGCTGAAAAAAATATAAATGCACATATGCTTAAAGATTTACAGAGTTACCTTAAAGATAAAAATGCAGGGTACACACACACACAGCTTCCATGAACATAATGCCATGGGTTTAGCACAGCTCATGATGAAAGATTTGTCTCTCTGTCTCCAGGGACAGTGATTACCTTGGGAGGAGTGCATAAGTTCCGCTTCAACCACCCGGCTGAAGCAGCTGTCCTTCGGGAACGCAGGCGGGTAGGTGCTAATCGTCCCAAAACGAATGCGATGCTGTTGATTAGGATGACAATCATGAAAATATTTATGATGAGCAGATGATTGGGTGATACACTTGAATGCTAATGATACACAGAATTTCCCTTTTAACACATTTCTTATTTTGTCTGTAAACACTAAAATATTAATTTTTCTTTTAAGGCCAGTGAAGGTGGCATGACCTGCACCTACACAGAGCTTTGCCTTGTGACCCCTGATAACAGGTAAATACTGTTTTAAGGCAATGTTTCCCACTCTGTGAATATATGTGGGTTAAACAGGTATTTTTCTGTCCCCACTTTCATATTTGATAAGAATTACAAATCCAGTGTCCTTCCTGTAGATTCATGCATAAGTCCTTCCACTTGGTGGAGTGCATGTTTCCATTAGCCCCCACCCTTGTGAACAATCCCAGTTAGCTGTTTACGATTCAGGCTCAGGGGTTGCTTAGTTACTCATGAGACGCTGAACACAACAGTATCCTTTACTTTCAACCTCTCTGCCACCAAACTATAAAATTCTAGACATCAAACTACACATAGGTGAGGTAAAATGATCGTTTTACTCCCCATGGTTGTCTTTTTTTCTCTCTTATTTCATCATCGTTTCTCAGTCTGTGCTTCATCTGTGTCATGCATCTCTTTTTGTAGTGTCAAAGAAGCGAATCTCCCACAGCAGGTGGGTGCATGCTTCTCTCCCGGTGAGGAGCCTTCTGCCAGGCAGCGTGTGGAGGAGCAGAAACGCTTCGTGGAGAGTTTGCGTCAGGAGATTCAGGCTGAACAGAGACGGGCTGAGAGAGAGCTAGAAAGGGAGCAGGCCTACCTCCAACAGCAGCACACTGAGAGTGAGAACTCTTTGCATTTCATCACTTACACAAGTATTATTCAAAATCCAAGCTGAAATTCTGCATCGTTTAAAAAAAAGAAAAAAGGATGACATACCAAAAGTCATATTGATTGCGATTTCTAGTGCTCAAAATGTCCTACTTTCTGTCTTTAATCAACAGTCCAGCAGTGGATTTTGAAGGAGAAACATCGCCTGACAGCTGTTGAACAGAGGATCACTCAGGAGTCTGGAGTTCAAGCAGACCTCCTCCCTGCACCCCTGCTGGAGAGGTTAACAAGCCATGTGTTCAGGGATCAGAAAGATGTTTCAGTGGATTGTCCATCCCAAGTGATAAGAGCCAGGAAGAAGGCAGTGCAGGATGAATTGCTAAAGCATCACGCTCTCTGCCGGGCCGAGAGCCGCATTCGGCGCAAAAGGCTGCGTTACCAGCTGGAGAGAATCGCCAGCAAGCAGCATCTGTTGGAAGCAAAGAAAGAGTTACAGCAGCTGGAAAAGACTCTGCCTTTAGGACCAGACAGCCCAGAATCTCCTGAGGCTGGATCGCCCTCAAAGGTCAAAGGACGACCGTTTGATTCTCGTAGACACTCGTTTTCATCCGATCTTTTGTCCCGACTCTACCCACAGAACACACCCATCTTCAGGTAAGGGGACAGTAAAATCTGTTGGTGAGGATTCAGGAAGCAGTTTTTCAGGTTTTTTTAATTATTTAGGTCTTGACTGTTAAGACATCTGTTTTTCTCCTTCTCCAACAGACACTTCCTCAAGAGAAACAGATCCACAGACCTGACTTTAAATTCACCCACAACGTCCGATTGGACTGGTAGCAGGAAGTGGGTTTCGGATGAGTGTCTTCCTCGGGAAAGGACCCAAAGTTGTTCTGGTTCTATCTTCTCAGAGCAAAATCAGCCCCGCCAGAATGGAGTAACCTCCCCTGAAAAGATCACACAGACTGCCAAGGAGGGACCACAAACCCAGCTCTGCCGGGAAAGGCCAGAAAGGAAACCTCTGCTTCCGAACCGAGACCTGTCTTTTAAGAACAGGTCAGACCAGAAATTGACGGGTACACAGAAGTTGCCTCTTGGATGTAGTTTGCTGCTAGTCGGCAAGGAAAACTTTCAAGGATCATCCACAGACAAACCCAGTTCTGAGAATGGCCCTGTTATGCACGAGAAAACATCCTGTCATGCAGATAACAGCAGATTAGGAACCATCAGCAAGTCGTTTCCTCGTTCTGTGGGGCCCAGGATAAAAAGAGCTCTGTCCAGAGTGTTCAGAAAACCTCCCTCAGGTGTGAATAGACAACTGCCTAAGCTGCTTGGAAAATTTACAAGTAAATTTCACTGGAGACAAAGAAGAGACAAGAGCCTTAGAGACACCAAAATGGGTCAAAGGAAATGTACCATTAAAACTACAGTCTCGTGTGAGGAGCTTGACCAAAGGACTCTGTTTGAGAGCATTAGACATAGACGGTGGCATAGTACTGAGGCTCTGATGAACAAGACTAGTAGATGGATCGATGAGCAGCATGGACTGGTTGGATGGGAGGAAGAGCGAGAAGTCAAAGACAATGGGACATCAGACTGCGAGAGCCTTTTCTCTCTTGATTCTCTGTCCTCTGCTTATGCCACAGCTCTAGCAGAGCAGCTGAGACATGAGGATGCAGCTCAAAGCGAAGCAGAGAGTGAAGACAGTCAGATGTCTAAAGATTCACTCAGTTTGGAGAGCACTGTTAAATTCTCAACAGTGAAGAGATTTAGCCAGACACTGGTACCAACCTACTCACTGGTGACGGATTCCACTGATTCATCCAAGCTGCACACTAAAACAGCAGAGACCAGTTTTGAGTGGGACAGCCGTCAGAAAACTCTCGTAATCCCAATAGAGGCATACTGGAGCCATCAAAGCTCCCCGAAGACAAGACAAATTGATACAACAATGAAGCCTTCTTCTCAAAGCTCATTAGTAGCAGATTCTAGAGGCAGAGACACTGTACATAAATTAACTCAGGACTTTGGGAATGTGGAGGCTTTAACCAGTAGCCCACGCTCTCTGAGCAGCTGCAGTGTGAGGGAGCCAGAAAACCCGCTGGTTCTCACTGATGCCTGGTCCTCCACAGATGCAGCAGAGAGTCCCAGGATGCAGAGGGATTCTCTACCTTTTCAAAGAAACATTATGTTCCGACACGCAGAGATCAGCAGCAGTAGTCCCAGTCCGACAAGTATGAATCTGTCTGGCTCTCAGGTTGGATCTAGAAGCCATAGCTCTACGTCCACTAGCACTGAAGGTGTAAACATGAAAGTGGAAGAACACGACCTTGAAGTTTTGGGGGGTTTTCAGGCGCTGACAACACCAGACAATGCCCTGAAGTCTGATAATCAGAAGGATGTAAGGTGTTGTGCAGAGTGTTTAGGAGAACCCGCAAAAATGAGAGATCCTTCTATTACAGGTACTCCAATTTTCAGTTACAGTCAGCATCCAGCATCTTCATTAGATCAAATGGAGACTGAAATTTCCCAGACCACACAAACAACATCAAATTTGATTCAGGTGTTTGCAGATTCCTCCAATATGATGTTTGCTGACATTACAGTGTCCTCTGACCATGAAATGTGCAGCTCATTGTCTCAGTCAGTAATCCATTTCTCCACAAATCCTACAAACCCACGTGAAGTACTGGCTGAGATGCCTGAAGCTGCAAGTCTCTTAAAACCTTCTACTGAAAAGGCAAGAGTATGCAGTCTCGATTGTGGAACAGAAAAGGTGAGAGATTTACAGCAGTGTAAGTTTACAAATGCAGAAGATGCATTTCTTATAAGGGATGGAATCAAAGACGCTGAGCAGGCCACTGCACTACAGCAGGAAGTTGATAAATCAACTTGTAAAAATTCCAGGAAGAGAAACAAAGACAAAGAAGATACTTTCATGGGCAGCTTGAAAATACCAAATACACAGGACAGCAGCGAGCTGGTAAGCTTCTGCTGTGCATCAGGTGACAGCCATGAGGAGATTTGCCCTGATGACAATAATAGCACCGGGGATTCTAATAAAGAAGAGCCTGCAGTAGAAACTAGCAGCAGAGGATGTGATTCTGTTTGTGTTGTTGGCAGCGTTACACAAGATACAGTGTCTTCAGTTGCATTGCCAGTATCTGATTGCAGCAGTGGGAAACTCGAACCAAGTCGTGGCGTCTTTGAGGACTCTCAGTTTGGGCTTCAGAGTCATGAAAAAGATTCACAGAATAGTATTTCATTTGGCGATAATAAAGTAGTCCAAAAGGTGGGTGTAACCCTAAAGGAACAGTTTGTAGAAACAGAACAGAGAGAATCCCGAGTGAATAACCATGGAAAAAACCAGGAAAGGGGAGAACACGTATGCAAGTCAGATGCTATTTGCAGCACTATTGATCTGAGAATCGCAGAAGTGGTGAAAGAGCACATGAAATTGACATTGATGGATAGTGATGGGGCCAGGAAGAGCTTGAGTCAAAGTCTGAATGCCTTGTCATCATCTGCAATTCATTTTGTTTCAAACAGTAATGAATGTAGATGGACAGCAAAACATCTGCGAGATGAAAGGAGTAATCAAGCGAAAGAAGGAACAAACCTGAGTGGACATCCTACACTGGAAACTTTACTGATAAGTAAAAATAAGGTGGATAAAAGTGAGCACCTGGCTTCAGCTATGGCAGCTGAATTGAGGAATAGCAGCACGGTTGTATGTACTGAAGTGACGGAAACCTTTGACAGCGCTCATAGCGTGTCTGATGGAACATTAAACAAGCAGGTCTTCAGCCGCTGTGTTTTCCAAAACTCACTTCCACATATCCACTCAAGTCTGACTCTGTGCAGCCAGGCAGGGTGCGAGCACGCTAGCGACTCTTTGTCAGCAAGTGATGCCTTTGTAACACAAAAACAAATTAATGATGCAGGCAAACGTGAAATAATAGCTAATCTTCATCCAGTTATTACTGATATTTGCTCCAAAAAAGCGGACAGCCAGACAGATCCCCCAGCTTCCAATGCTAAGCAGACATGCCCACAACTTAACCAAATAAGCCCTGAAACACTTTTCACCACTGACTGCATAAAAGTGAATTGTAGCTGTACTGCTATGGGGCGCACAGGTGTGGAAACTGCATCGAACGTTGTCAATAAAGATAATTATTCACCCAAACCAAACACGCCAAAGATGATTCAACATTTCCAAACCAGTGGCGAAATATCTGGAGCCATGAAGTTATTAGCTGGTGGTGGATTACATCAGTTTAAAGCAGACAGAAGCTACAGCAACCAGAACACACCCCGTGGTGAGGATGTCTGCATGAAAGGCTCGGCTGGGCATGATGTAAATGTTGAACGAGACACCACAACAGGAGGCAAACCTTCTGTCACAGCACAGGATGAGTTCAGCTATCGACAGACTGATTCCGATAACTCGTCTCAGAGCTGCTGCAAAAACAAACCCCCAAATTTATCTGAGTCACATCCCAAATTTAATGAAAATACTCAAATCATTAGCAGTGGAGATTGCATAATGAAAAGTGACAAAGAGACTTTGACCCAACCATTCGTGCCACACAATCGAGCAGTAACGGCGGAGTCACAATCTAAAATGCTACAGCAAAACTGCTTTAAAAATCCAAGTTGTTTTAGACCTGTAATCGCCAAAGAGCCCAAGAAAAGCACAACTGGAGGCATGTTAGGAAATTCTTCTCTTATGATGCAAAAAGGCAAAACTAAGCGGTTCAGAAAGTCTCACATCAGGACCTGTCCCACATCTTCCTCTGACTCCTCTCTTAAGTCATCAGACGAGGATGAGGAGGACCACGCCGCCACTAGGATGCATCACAGCAGGCTGGCATCTAAATGGGTCAAGCTTGACATTCAGAATGATGTCAAACCTGAAGTCAGACAGCCAAGAAAAAGCAATGCAGGACAATCTACTTTAGCAGCAGCAAACAAATCAAACGTGAAGACTTTTTCCCATGGAAACCCCGGCAAAAACGAAGTTAAGCTTAGTAAAGCTTACACGCTAAAAAGACACTCCTTACCTCTTCGGTCAGTGTCACAGAAAACGGAACAAATTAGCCCGCATGCAAACAAAAAGGAGCCACAGCATGTGCCAAAGTCTCAAGACTCCCCTATTCATTTTGCATCCAGTGACATCAACCCTTATGTTCACCAGTGGCAAGAAGACGACTCAGGCCAACATTGCTACCCAGCGTTTGGAAGTGCTGCTGACCTATCCAGTAATTCTCCACTTTTAAACAGCTCAGAGAAACGTATAACAAGGTGCTGCAGTGTCGATAATGGTCTGAATGAGCAGAACTCTCCATTTAATTCTCATCTTAGCACATATGCTACAAACAAGGGACTCTCTAGTACTCTTAGTAGTGTGGAGGATTATAAAGAACAAGCAACTAAAACATCTCGGCTTACACCCTGTCAACAGGCATTTGCGAATATCTGCAGTTGCCCTGCTAATCTGACAGCAGACAGCGGTTCTTCAGTCAACAGTGTTCCTGGCGATCCTGGCAACGCTTCCGGTCGAGTAGATGAAATCATGTTTGTTTACTCACCTGAGCAAGAGTGCCAGACGAGCAAAACAAACGCACAAAGGACATGCGAACACAGTACTCAGACTGAGCGTGAGCTTCAGGCGCAGGGTAACGGTAAGAACTGTAGCTCTCTGAAGAGGAAAGATCGTCACAAAAGGAGCAACACAGATGTACCCGCGTCACAGAAAAACAAGGTGGATATCACAGAATCTCCAACTTGGGCCAGTATGGAAAGCATGTCAGCTCACATTTCTAAGTTAATCAACAGCACCTCAAACCTGCTGGGGGACGTCCAGGGAATGAGGACAGGTGAAGTTCGCAGTTTCAGTTCAAGGAGTATTAACTTCTCTGATCTTAGCACATCTTACGTCGAGTCTAATGGTGGCACCAAGAGAGACTGCTCAACTCAGACAGCTGCAGATGTTGGCATCCAGCCTGAGAGGCTTGTAGCTCCAGCAGAGAAGAAAGCTGCTGTTCTTCTGTCACCCAGTGAGAAGTCTAAATCTCATGAAGTCAATGTCATAGTCAAAGTGATTGGTTCTGATGCTGTGAGTGTCTCTCAAGACAAAAATATCCACTGTGTGGTAAAAACAAAATCTAACACAGTTGAAAAGATGCAAAGTATGCCTGACCTGAGGTTTAACACCTCTGTTTCCTCACAGCCTGCGAATGACCCTCTCAAAACTGCTCGTGCAAAGACTGCAGCTGACTGTCAAAGGCGTGTAAGGTCTGCTTCATCTAGAGTCTCTGAAGCACTGGGCCGCAGAAGTACTGCAGTCCCTGAAATCACCCATAGGTCATCAAAAATCTGCTACCAAGAAAATCACAGCCCTTCATTAACACACCTCACATCTCCTCATCTGAAGAAAATGGTCACATATACAGACCGTGCGTCTTCTCCTATTCTTACAGTGGGAGCCAGATTACGCACGAGGCTCAAGGGTAAACAGTCGGTAACATGTTCTGCAAAATATAAGGCTCAAAAGACAAACCATCCCTCTGAGGATGACAGCATGACCATTCCTTCTGTTTCGGATGGCAATCGGATGTCCTTACGGGATTGTGATTCTTCCTCTGACAAATTAGAATCAGTATCACTTGAGAAAGTGAGTGAAATTAGTTGCACAAGCTCTAAAAGATTAGATAAGTGCTCTTCAAGTCCAAATCCATCAATGGAAACATATGCAGATTCTGATGGGAGACATGTGAACTATCAAGACAAGGACAACCACAAGCTCGGGTCCAAATGGCCGGTGGCATCCCCGCAGTGGACGCCTACTTCAGCAAATGGTTTAATTTTGCAGAACCACATTTCCCCCACATTAAAACAGACTGATGTGCGCAAACAGCAGGCATCAGACTTCAGAAGACTTGTGCCTAATGCTGGGGATTTTAACTACAGTCTATCTCCATTCAGCGACAAGGCTGATCAACCTCAAGAGGATGATATAATGTCACTAGCACCCAGTGAATGCAACACAGATGTGCTTGTGAACATTGAACCTGTCAGCGATGTGTTTCCTTGTCAAGATAATCAGAGAGTCCCGGAGGACCTGCCTATGCACAACAAGTTCACCAACTGGTCGGGGGTCAATCAGCAACAGTCAAAATGCTCAAAAAACCTGACCACATTTGTGACCAGTGAGCACAACAAACGCAGAGAGTGTGCCGAATGGGGTGAAGTCGGGAGCTTTGGTTCAAATGCAGAATCTGTGGCGCAGAGCGACAGGAGGGCAAAGGAGATAGTGAAGCTGCGACAGGAGAGAGAGCAGGTGATGGCGACGGTCAACCTCAACATGAACCCGACACCACTGACTGTGGAGCTGGCAGAGGCTAAGCTTCATTACAGGCTGGGAGAGACGGACACGCTGCTAAAGATGTTGTCCCCGAGGTCCAAAGAAGAGCTTGTGACGCCAGCTTCTGCTTCTACAAAACAGCAGCTGTATGATGTGTAAGGATACAGTTGCCACAAATGCTCTATTTTGACATAAGATTTGCTTTAAAATGTTTAATACACACCAAAGTGGAAATACCTAATTAAAAAATCCAAAAGAAATAATAATAATATTCTCACCTGACATTCAGTGCCAGCTTTTAAAGCATAAAACGCTTTCGTAATTGATACTGCGGATACATTGATATTTTCTAAAACTGGTCTTCTCTTAGACTTCATTGACATTACTGTTTTTTAAATTGGATCTCTCAGGCATCGCAGGAGTATTGAGGGTTTGAGGCAGGAGAGGGAGGAGCGCCTCCAGACTTACCGGAGAGCTCGTAGCTTGAGTCCGAGCAAGCACCCACGCCTCCGTCCTCAGGAGGCTGCATCTATTGCAATGCCCAGTCGGCACAAAGAGCATCTTCAAAGGCTTCGGCAAGAAGTGATAGAGAGCGCCAGGTGAGATGCTGAGTTTCACAAAATCAAAGCACAACGGGCTCCTTGAATCTCACATTTCGTGCTTAGGTTTTCAGGAGTGATGTAAACAGAAAATCTATTTGGCTCTTATTTGTTTTTACTGAAGAATGCCAGATGCTCCAAGGGAAGAAAGCCAGTATCCATCTGACATTGAGCAGCTGTTGCGGGACTATGGTCGAGCTCGGGAAGAAGCCAGGACGGAGATCGCAAAGGCACGAGAACGACTGCGAGAACGGACTGAGCTTGAGAAGAGGAGGCTACAGCAGCAGGCCCTATCTCAGGAAGACAAGGTCAGTCAGATCCATATCACAGAGAATAATTAAAGATCCCAGCCAGTGAACTCCAGGGTCTTCATCTTATCATGATCAAAGTGACTATAGAGGGGATCCTGTGTGCTGTGCAGCATTTAGATGTTGTTGTAAATGTTTGGATAAATAGTTTTGTCTGTATGAACTTGACTCTAGGTGACGTGTGCCGGACAGGATAACTTGAGGCATCGGACAAGGATAAGCAACAGCACTTTGTGCACGGGGTCCAGTCTGAGTCTTTCCTCTGGACCAACATCAGGGTACAACAGTGGCAACACCACCCAACTACAGCAGGGCAACAGACCAGTTCGAACAGGACAGGTTTGTATATTAATGCTACATGATACATTAGATTTGAAATGAAACTGAGATTTAAGACTGAGCTAAAAAGGCTCAACTTTTCTTCTGTCCAGATCATGAAGAATGAAGGGCTGAAGGTTGGGACACGTCCTCCTATTTGTGCTCCACAGAGTGTGAAGACGCAGAGAGGGTGGCTGTCAGCCCAGGGTAACAGCAGGACAGTTAATCACCAACCCCAAATAGATTTGGGCAATAATCATGATTAATTATTATTTCAATAAGACGTCCAGATAAATCATTGCTATTTCAGGCTTTATATTTGCCTTCCTTGGAAGCTTTGGCAATTTGTTAAATATGGCGACTAATAAATGAGATCATTGCCCAGGTTTGTCACCACTTCTTTGCCCTCTTCTTTACACCCTCTGTATCTAAATGTGCTAATAATATCATGTGATTTATTAGACGTCCAACAGAGCAGCGGGTTTGAACCTCTGATGACTTCATCTCCGGCCTGTACACGCCAGCGGACAGCATCCGTCGGCTCCTCGTCTTCCATATCGACAACCTATCAGGACATCACATTCAGTCTTCTCGGTCGAGCTCTGGCTGAGGTAATATAGCTGAAAAGTCAGCTGTAGAAAAACGTGCTCTAGGAGAGACATTCTAATTAGTATTTTGTATTTGAGTTGAAAGATTCACATAGTAATTAACTGTCCTTTATAAAAATTTCGGGTTTATTCTCACTGGCATTTGTTTTTGAGGTGAGTAAGACATTTTTTTCTCGACAGGTGCGACTGGCTGCCTCAGGGGATTTTGGCAACTTGGTGACGGGCAAAGCCGCAGCAGGCTGGAGGTGAGCATTCTCCAACCATCTCCCCTTTTCTTGATTTCCTCCGTGCCTGCTCCAGGATAATTTTGAGCAAGTAGACAATTTGCAACACAAAAATCATTTATGTGCTATTAGAAAATGAACTCTGTCTATCTTTACCCAGTTACCAAGGAGATGAACGGGGAATTCAGGCATACTACAAATCCTCTTCCTGCCCATCTGTCCACGGTTTCCTGGGGGCTGGGGAGCTGGACAGACCACCGGATAGCCTGTGGAACCTAATCTCCCAGCTGTCCAAGAGCCACATGTACAATCAGTCAGTCCGCTCAGTGTGGACACGACCACTAGATGACAGCACTCAGCTTGGTGAGCCAACATCCTCATAGGCAGCAGTTTTAATGACAGTATATTTAATCTTGAGTTATCCTGAATATCGCAATTTTAAGGAGATTTCTTGAAACTTCATTCCTCCCTATCCATTCATTTGTTATAATGCTAGTAGTTAAAACATCATCTTAAAAAGTAAGATGCTTATTTTCTGAGAGAGTTCAAAAACTAAAACACTGCTTAAATGTCATTGCTCAGAAAGAAAAACTGATGAATTATGGTTGTGTAAGGTGGCCTTGTGCAATCCGTTTACCTTGCAAAAACCTTTGTGCTTTTGCTAAAAAGCAAATCTTAAAAATAAAATATAATATTTACACTTTTATCTTGACAGCAAAACTATTTATATTTTGTGCTACGCAGTTAATAGAGCCTGCAAATTCTTCTCAGCGAACGCATCTGCATTCATTAACTATCTGTACTACAGCGTGGTTCAGCACAGTCTCATTCATCACTGCCAAGTTTGTTTTATTACGCGGCCAGCTCCATTCTCACACCTGCAGTGTGTTTTCATTTAATACCTGCAGCCCACCACGAGGCCTTTTTTACTTCTGCTGGCCTCTTGTTCTCCAAGTTTTCATTCTTTGGATAATGTTTGTTTTTTATGCAAGCATGTAGAATTTAAACTAAAGTATCAAATCACTGTATCGTGAATATGACATTTTATTTAGTGAACTTTCTTTCCACCAGTCTAGTATCCCAGTATTAAACAGAATTGGTGCTGGATAATTAAAACACGTAGTAGAACGTACTGAAGGTACATGATTTGTTTGTAGTGTAGTTTTTCTTTATATGTGACTTTGTTTTTTAAATGTTGTATTTATTGATTTTTGTACAGCATACACAATCACAAAGAACAAGTAAGAGTCTGTCAGACACTAAAATATACATAAAGAATTGAAGATAAAGATGCAGCGGCCCGAGTTTGAGTCCAACACGAGCCCCTTTGCTGTGTGTCTTTCCACTCTCTCTCACTGCTCTCCTGTCCACGCTCTTCTGTTACACTATCTAGCATTATTTTTATTACTTTTTAACAGATGGAAGTCTGAAAAAGGCGAGATATGTCATGTGTGGTTTGTTGTGAAGATTATGAGTAGGCTCGTTAGTGTATTCATGAAAGTCTGAGAAAGAGCCTTGCGCTCAAACATCACACTGCAAATAAAATCCTTGCACAGGAGCTGTTTGGTTTGTCTGTTTCTATAGTAGTAAATCTATTTCCAGTATTGGGCTTTTATTACATTGCCCCAGTTGTTTTATTTCCAGGTTTGTATCGACTATACTTGATCATTTTCACGTATCTCTCCATTTTTGTTTAGTTTACATTCTCACAGATTCGTCCACCTGTCACCTCAGCCAGCCGCGAGATTTCTGCTGCATCAGCTCGCAGTCCAAACAGGTGAGCACAGCTTCAACATTAACCAGCCGGCGTGCATGATTACTGTTCATCTCTCTTGTGTAAGGCTCAGGGAGTATGTGCAGCGTTTGCACGCTTTAGCTTGACAAAGAAAAATCCAGATTACATTGTAGTGCAAACAACAATTTAACAGCATGTTCCTCATCCACAAAATGTTAAACATGCTATTTAGATACTACTCATGCTTAGAAGTCACCGAGCATAAACAACACTCTGACTCAGAGGCAGTGGGTGTGGAGGAAATCATGTCAGCTGTTGGTGTCGGTGTACACTTGCCTCCCGGCTGATCAAAAGAGTGCAGCGGCACCTGTTTTATTGATATTGTTTTCTCTGCCGCAGGGTGGCCTGCACGTGCTGGCAATGCAGTCTGTGTTTGAGGAGTCTCTCCCTCGGCCCAGTGTGGACGCCATCCGTGGGGAGATGTTGCCCAGTTGCTGGATCTTGCAACCAGTTAGACGTAATGAAAAGGAAGTAACCAGAGTCATCTACCTGCTACAGGTAAAATATGCTTGCCAGAAATACATCCGCAGGCTCTCATGCATCACTCCCTATTTCACTGGGTGCAAAAGTAATGCGTTCACATAATTCAGAAGAATAAATCTGACCTTTGTGAAGGTTATTATGTTCGGTTTCTTTTTTGTGGTCATTTTGGAGGCTGCCGTTTAAAGGCCAAAATACCTAAAAGACATCTTTCAGTGAATTACTTCTATATTCCCACTGTATTACTTTTAGATATACGTAATAGCGCAGTTGTGTGTATTGCAATACAACCAACAGAAGGGTAGCAGAGTTGAAGTCTATGCATTTTAACTTCCAGTAAATCAGTCTTTCGAGCTGATTATTGAGGCTGATTGTGCTGATCTAAACAGCAGGATGACTTTATGGCTCTCCACTGGCAAGCTTATCACTATTAGGGAAATTAGTTTTGTGGAGTAGAAGCTTTTTTTTCACCTTCCACCAATTTTACCACAGGAGCAGCTGATACAGCACAGACAGACTTCACTCAGAGTCCATCTTTATAATGAAAACATAATTGTATTTTTGTATTTGCTGTGTTTGAGTAACTTGCTCACTGGACATTTCATTAGGTATACCTATTTAGCTACTCATTTATGCAAATATCTTATCAGCCAATCGCATGGCAGCAACTCTGTGAACTACAAACGGATGGGGAATAAAGGTTATTTCAGTGACTTTAAACATGCCGTGGTTGTTGGTGCCTGACAGGCTGTTTTGAGTATTTCAGAAACTGCTGATCTACTGGAATTTTCCCAGACAACCATCTCAAGAGTTTACAGAGAATGGTCCAAAAAGTTATGTGGGTAAAAATCCCTTGTTGATGCCAGAGGTCAGAGGAGAGTGGCCAGAAGCTGACAGATAGGCAACAGTAACTCAAATGTAACCACTTTAGGCAGCCAAGGTATGCAGAAGAGCATCTCTGGTGTACAGCAGCAAAAGACCACAACAGGTGCCTCTTCTCTCAGCGAAGAACAGGAAACTGAGGCTACAATTCACACAGATTTACCAACTTTGGGCTGTAGAAACATGAAAAAATGTTGCCAGGTTTGAATCTCGTTTTCTGCTGTAATATTCAGGTGGTGTTGGTGTAAACAACATGAAAACATGGATCCATCCTGCTCTGTATCAGTGGTTTGGGCTGGTGGTGTAATGGTGTGGGGACTATTTCCTTGACGTACTTCAGGAGGCCTTGGTACCGATTGTATCAATGCCTTTATGATCGCAGTGTGTCCCCATCTTCTAATGGCTGTTTCACTGGATGTGCAGCTAACAAATCTGCAGCAACTGTGTGAGGCGTGGCTCTCATGTCAATGTGAACCAAAAATCTCTGAAGAATGTTTTCAGTACCTTGTTGACTCTTTCCACAAAGAAAATGGGGTCCAGCTCATAATTAGCACGGTGCACCTAACAAAGTGTCTGGTGAGTGTAATTTGCAGGCTGTACTACATGGATGTCATTTGTTATCTCTGTTTCCTCTTCTGTTTATTTTCAGCTGGACCTAGGAACTCCATCTTTTCCTCACCGTCTCGTGAACACTGTTGCCAGACGACAGGCAGCCGTCATCGCCGATCTTGACGTTTTCCTTTCTTCGTAAATCGGCGGGACGCGCAAAGACGCATCATTAGCAGCGAGCACTTAGATCCTCTCCATCACGGAGTCGGTCTGTCTTTTGAATTTGCACCTGAAATGTTATTTACTTGATTTTTTTTTTTAAGGGCACTGTTACATTTTATATCCAGACACAAAGTTGAAGCAGCTTTTTTTTTTCTTAATGAAGGTATTTTTGTAAAATATTGGTGTTTTTCTATATTTGTGCATGCACATGAATATTTTCAAGACTGTTTTACCAAAGATGAGATGTTTTTAAATGAATGACTTGGCATTACAGTTATTGCCAGTTGCTTTTAGGTGCTTTCAGGTTGAGACCACTTAAGTTTCCCCTCTAAATCTTATATCCCCCTGATAAATAGCAGGCATTTTACCTCCTCAGTGACATTTTTGTCTGTTTACTTTCTTTTATATGTTGACTGACAGATGCAGCCAGTTCTGTTAATGTTTTAAATCCACCAGTGTACATCTTTGACTGCTTCCTCGCAGATGCACATAAAAAAAACACGGTGTAGTGATAGACAGAACAAAATAAGACAATTTTCACAAACTTCTCTTTAGTCCTTTTCCCGCTACATTTGTGTGCCTACAGCATTTCCTCACATATTCAATAAGATTAATTCAGCAGAATATGACTTTCAAATATCTCTTAGCAATTCTCACAAATGGAAAAGAAAGCTATGTAAGCTATATACTGTATTTTATAGTAGCACCATGTAGGCAAACCTGGAGGAATGGTAAGGAGTTGTTTTGTAGCTGCAAATGTTAATCAGCTCACTGCAAAAAAACACGAGGGGAAAAAAAGTTTTGTAGCAAAACAAGGAAGAGGAAAGTTGGGAACCTTTTGACTATTATCAACTCTTAAGGGCATGAGGGCAGATCAGTTTTGAACCAGAACATGATGGTTCATGCCTTCATGTCAAACATGCAACGTGTTGATGAGACTATTATCCAGCTCCAGGGTTAAGCTCTCATAGTTTTCAGTACCCCGATTCTGCATGAGGTGAGTTTTTAAGGTCTTCCCCTCCCACTTGTTTCTGAAGCCTGTTATTTATTTAGTTTCTCTTGCCTTCTGTTTGAAATGCTGTTGAATGTGTTATGTAGCTGTTTTTCGGAGTGCTGTGTTTGTGGCTGCTTGCACAAAACCTTTTATGCATTTAGTAAAATTGAAGAGGATTGTAAAAAGGTTGTTGTTTTAATGTGTACAGTTCTTTAAATTAAGATGAGAAAAGGCCAGACTGCTCTCAGACATTCCGGGTCTTGTGTATTTGGATATGAAGCCATGTTATGCGGAGTCATTAAAAGACAATGTTGACTCTGAAAGTTCAACTAAACCTGTTCCCTGAGGCACCAAAGAAAAAGAGACAAGTGAAAAATGCAGTAGGAGCTGTATGGAAGGTTGAAGGAAAATAAAACTTTAGCAGGAAAAATTAATTGCAAGATTTTAACTTGTCAGAATTTTGAGATGCCTAACTCAAAAGTTTGACTTACAGATTGCAATTTTAATATTGTCAGTAAAACAAACCTCCGTACAGCTTTTTGTAATAATTTCTTGGTTTTTTTTTTAATAGCATATTTTTTATTTCTTAAGAAATATATATATTTATGTTTTTCTGGTGTGATATGTATGTATTTTATTATAAGCGCCATACTTCTTGTTGCTAATAAGTTGTTATTAGCCATTTTTCAAATAATTTGTTTGTTTTTTATGACACAGAAACTGTTGCATCAAAACCTCTTGTGTGTTCAGTTTTAGTTACCTTGTATGTAGCAAGCAGAACATTTACCTTTAGTGCTGACTGAAATTCTTTTTGGATATTGTTGTACTGAAAGGTGATATTAAAAAAACAAACAAACATATTTCTCCGTGTGCTTCTGGGTTAGAAACATTGTGTTGCACTATATCTTTAATGAAGTTTCTAATAAGATTATATCGGTGCAGTTATATCGCTTAAATGGTTTCCAAATGAGCTTTATTCCTTTTTTGATGTCATTTCTTCTGACTCTGACTTCATCACACAGGTGTGTCCACTCTCCATGTCCTGGCCTCTCTTCTCTACCTTGGAGGTGACATTTCTGAAAGGGTCTCGATAGGTAGGTGGGTAGTTGCCGTGTGCGCGATTAGAGCCCTTTCTGGGCGGGGTGGAGTGCACTGAGGTGGGGGTAGGAGGCGTTGCACAGGACATCAGAAGTGTCTCTGCCATTTAGAGTCACCAGCCCTTGTCAGGAATGTCCGTCCCCTGCGCGCACAGATCATGTACTGGATGCGCCAACTTTATTTTTAACTCTGCAGGGTGGGTCACTCGCCTGGCTTTCAGGAATGACCGTGGAGCGCGCGGCGCCTTCAGCCCCTTTCCCTAGTCCCCAGTGTAGGACTGTGCCCACCTCGAGCTGTGGAGACCTCTGTGCGCTCTGACCAGGACCCCCACTGAGTCAATGGGATTATAACTGGTTTACTGGCAGGAAGAAGACTAAAGATAAACACTTTCGGACAGAAGAAAAACCAGAAGCAAGTAAGTGTAAACTGAAGGCAAAACTAATGTGCCATTGCAAAATTAAATTAATGATCTTTGTGCAAATAGTAACGGAGCCGTGTTCATTTATTTAGACTACTGTTCGCAGTTGTTTGTTGGTTAAGTTTCCTCCAAAGTACCTGTTGATCCGGGCTGTCATGTTTAATAATAACGTAAAAGCTCTGGATGATTTATCATTGTTATAATATTCACTGATAAAACCGCTAAACATTGTTTTAATAAAGCTATATACAAATTCCCAAGTTATTAATTTGTTTTCTTTTACTGTAAAACAGCCAGGGTGGCGTGCGTCTTTAAATTTGCGCAGAAATAGGCCATTGCGCGCGATTGCGCACAAAACTGCGCTTTCCAGTAGGTATTGCGGAACTATTCAGATAATTTAACAATCTAAAAGTAGCAACACTTAGCTCAAAAGTAGTCTGCTATACTTCAAGTATACTTCCGTCACTTAAAGGAGCACAATGCTACCGAAACGTGTGCTTAGACATTTCCGAAGTACAAGTACTCAGAAGGTGTCTCCAGTGGGCTTCCTGTCATATTAATACCGGTGCTTTAATGTAGGTAATACTATTGATGTCATATTAGTTTCACGTCCAATATATTAGGAGAGATCACTCTAAAGTTGTATCATGGTTCTTACGCCTGTCGTTATTTTTTATAAAAGTGACCCAAGAAAAGCGCCAGAAATATGTATTTCGTTACATTCCATCGCTTACGTTTGCCAAAGCTTGAAAACATTCCACTGTAGTATGTGAGCTAGTTTTCCCTTTGTTAAAGCACCTTGCAAAGCCTTTTCCACCTTTGATTGAAAGCAGTCTGCTGCCCTTTGAAAGGCAAAGATATGGCACATTTCCTGCTCAAAGAAAGTTCAGCTTTATTCCCCTTAAAAGGACAAGTGAGCATGTGTGGCTCTGTCTGGCCAGGCAGGGACTTCAGTGTAAACACACTCCAGGAATAGTTTATTATCGATTCATCTTAACCTCTTGCACGATCACACTCAGTGCTGTTGAAGTCCAAACAACACTGACCACAAGAAATGAGCTTCTTCTTTTAGCTTATGTTTTATGGATTGATATCCTTTCTAGTCTTGGTTTCGGTATTCATTCTTATATATAAAGAAGCAAGTAATTGTTCTTTACTCCATATTGATCTCTGAGTGCTTGGTGTTTATGTCTCAGATTTACTCTCAGCTGGACCGCAGGCCTACCTCTCCTCAGTCCAGTTGCTCCTGCCGCTACAGTTTCACAAACACACTGTAGGTCACACATCTCGACCACACCCATCTCTTATTTCATCCTCTCCATCTGACTCTGTGCTGCTCAGAATAATGCATGGCCAGCTAATGTTTTGTTCTGCTCAGAGTGCAGAGCAAGCACCAGCGTAACATTTACTTACAGCTGGAAAAATGGTCTGCAGAGTTGTAATTCAACTCAAGTGCTGATTTGATGTTTGCATTGGACATACTTGTTCACAGTGTAGTTTTGCTATTTTAAAAAAAAGGGGGTCCAGTAAGTGCAGTAAGAGGTAGGTTACCAACTAATTTCAGCCAAGCATAAAGGTAAAACTTTCATTCACACCTTTAAATATTTTTTCCAAGATCCTCTGCTGGCATTATATGCAGAGCTGTTTCCACAAAAGTCCAAGCTCATGTTGCATATACTTACACGCACCCAGGTCATGCAACATGTGGGGATCTGAAGGAATTCCAGCTGACATTCTTATCATCCCTCTTGACATTTTACTGCTTTGGAGAGATTATCCAGCACCTCTTACCCACCAACACACAGCGTGCAGTCACAAGAATGATTTGTATACAACAGGAACATGTTCTGGGGTCTTTATCTACTGTAGGTGATAGAAATCTATCCACAATCAGCCAAACAAAAAGATTGAATCAAATTAAGCTTTATTAGTAGAGGCGTCAGAACTTAACTGTGTCAATTTTCCGTCATATTTAAACTCAGTAATTTAGTGATATGATGGGTAAAAATAACTTTAAACAGAATGAAATCACTTTAGAAAAATGAAAAAGAAGTGCAACAGTGCACACATGCCTTTTATGCATAATAAAGTTTCCGTCTGTGTATTTGTATTTTTTAAATATTTAAAATATTTTCCAGGGTGACCTTCTGTGAGCAAGCAGGTAGATTAGAGTGTTCCCTCTCACTCAAGGACACCACGAGAGGACACCTTGCTATTGAGACACACATGCTGTGGCAGGCAGAGAACTTGTGACCTTTGTGTCACTGGACCTTCTATAATAAGGAGTTCAGCATGTCTCCAAATGGAACTGACTGCAGCATCACCGTGTATAAACATGTTTGGATTTGTGTTCAGCAGCTAAATGGAGCAGTCGGTCAATCCCCAAACACGATTAGATTCTCACAGCTTTGTGACAGTTTGTGAATATGAATTTGTGCGCCGTGTTAGAGAAGGTTTGTGCAGTAGAAGTGCGTCGTGCAGTCATGCCGGGCCAGGTTGTGCACGAGGTGATAAGGGGATCCCTAGTGGTGGGTGGAGCATCCCTGTGCTGATAACAGCCCTCTGCTGAGGACTGATACTGAGCAGGAGGAGGAGGGACACCTGTAGGATGCCATCACTGCGCATCACTGAGGGCCTCTTCTCTGAATGGACTGAACAAACAAACCTCTGTAGTTTGTAATTTGTGTCAAAGTACATTTAGTAAAATAAAATACTTACAGTAGAGACAGTTTAAGTTTTTTTTTAATATATATGTTTGTCACCTTTTAAAGTAATATTGAACTAATTATAAAGATGCAAAGTACTGAATATCATGAAATACTGAGCACTGTGCAGGTAAACTATTAAAAGTATTACACTTATAATAACACAACGCCAGTAGTGACGATAATCTTGTAGAGATGGAGTCCATCTACTGTTTTTAGTGAACTTTAGAATCACATCAAAAACCACAATTATTATCATCAGATTACAGATTATAGCCTTTATCTGTAATCCATCATTTAAAGCTCTAATGTTAGTAAAAGCAAAATGCATGCGCCCTTAATTTGTGCTGTAAAGGGGGACTTTGGCATGTTCTGTACCCCCATGCTTCATCTAATGGAGTATTAACCTAAGTTAGACTCCCCGCCTCACTTCAGCTCACATGACTATTCTCACCAACAAAAAGACGCAAACACAAACACGTTCGTACTTCAAACTACGTGAGCGGCATCATTCAAAAGAAGGCGGTTTCGTCACGTTTCTGCAGTACAGAGGGGTTCCCCTCCCCCCGTGTGGCATGATAAGAGAGCTATGCTGCACCCAGATAGAGCTATCTGAGTGGTTGCCCTTCAACCCGCCATTCCACACGAAGAATACACAGACACACGGCGCTGTGACAGTTGACCAAAGTCACACGTACAAAATGGAGACTGTGAGGAGGGGGCACAAACTCATGTGGGCATCTTGAAAGCTGCCATACATTTGATTTTTGTGTAAAAATATCCTAAAACTGCAGCTGATACCACACCAATGCCCCAAATTAAATTCTGGTGTCAGTTATAGATACAGCCTCGTATAGATTGAAACTTAAACTCCTCTCCAAAAAAATGAACTGCAGAGAATAAAAGTAGAATTTATCAATAGTTGGATGGCAACTAACTGTAAATATCATCACTGGTTGTGATGCAGATAATATTTTGACATCTTTTAGACTATTAGATTGGAAAATTGCCTTTATATTGTCCCTAAATTAACGTTACATTCTGCAGCCAACAGCCCAATGATATACAATTAACTGTAAAAGCACTAAATTCTCACAATTTGCGGAAAATATTAAAGAAAGTAAACCCTACAGTCTGTCATTTTTTCTATTAATCATGCTCTGTGTATTTGCCCTCTGTTTCAGGCCGCCTTCAGCATTCCGGGTTCATCCTGCCGCTTTTTCCATCTGCTCATCTCCCTCTTCACCCAGACCACCTGAGGACGCCGCCAGCCGTCCCCCCGCCCGCTCGTCACCCTGGCTGCCGCCATGACTTCCACCACAGATTTTGACAATGTGGAGATTACGCAGCAGTACAGCCACATCAACACCCGCTTTGACCTCTCTGATGAGGAACTAGACAATGACAACAGCTCTGCCAGGCTGTTTGAGCGCTCGCGCATCAAGGCCCTCGCAGGTGAGTGCCTGCATAGTAAACAGGCTGCGTCCTCGGTGACAGATTTTCGAGATGACAGTCTTTTTAAAAGCGAAAGAGAAGGGCACAGAGGATGAGCTGTAAAGGGTGAGCACCTGTTTAACTTTAGTTGGGTTGAATAAAACTGTGACCTTCACTCAGATTTCTGT